CTAATAGAATGACCTTTCTCTAAATTCCCTCTTCGAGTGGGAAGAATTAGACTCTTTATCTGCCAGCCCAGTCCTAAGGTATCTGCCCTGCACGGGAGCACAGGATCATCATAATTGGAGGTCACGGGCACCTCACGATAAGAGAACCAAATACTACCGAGCTTGGCAAGCTCCTCGGGTGGGTACAGTGTCAAAAGCGCACTGGCTTCCACCGGAAGAAGCAAATTCACTTCCCGGGAAGAGTTGCATGAAGAGGGTTCACCCTCTGCCATTCAAGAAGGGGAGATAGAATTGATGATATCATCAAGACAGTCGTCTCTTCCCTCAAACTGTCGGGTTGGATACCATATTCCCCACGCCTGACTATTTTGGGGTGCATTTCAAACCAGAAAAAGGCGCTAGTTTGTTCAGTTCAGTAAAGTTGACCGTCTTCCATGCGTAGCTGTGCGTGGCCGATGCGTTCCATTATTGTTGTATTTCAAAGCTGGGGAATCAGTCTCGTCATTCCAACGAAAAACTCATTGATAGCAGAATAGCCTTACCTTACTTAAGAGGGGCGCTAGCGCTTGACTGAGACTAATCAGCCATAAAAAGCAATGTAATAGGCTGTGAAAATGATTTAAAATTCTATAGAATTTATTTTATCTCTTGTAATCCTTTAATAGGATTTGTGATAAATGCTACTTAAATCCTAGGGTATCAAAAAATGAACCTACCCATTAATCCAGAAAAAAAAATTTCCAAATTCCAGTTGACCCGTTTAATAAACGAGTTGTGGTTTGAGTCGTCCATTTCTTTTTATTTATTAAACATGTTAGATTTTGATTGACTCACCTACTCAATTTGACTCGAAAATGAATCGTGTCATATTACTTCTAAAGTTTTTTTATTTATTAATTTAAATAATTTTAAAGTAAAACTAGTTATTAGGTTGGGTTTGTGTTGCTAGTGGATCAGATTCGGATTCAATTTTTTTGACTCGTTTACTAAATCGTGAATTCGTTGACTAAATTCGGGCCAGATTAATTTAAGATCAAACCCAAACCCGAACCATTTTGATGCCCGACGATCAAATAGTTTCTTAAAAGTTTTTAAGTACTAAGCATACATTTGTGATGTATATGTGAGTTTGATTTCCTTAAAAGATATTTTAAATAAATCCTCATAAAATTGGTATATTTGTTGAACTTTTATTAGGTCCCGTGTAAGGACGTAGAGGAACGTCCGGTCGGAGGTAAAATCCCGCCAAAAAACTCGGTATCGGAGGCAAAATCCCGCCAAAAAACTCGGTATTTGCTCGGTATTACTAGGTATTATTTGAAAATAACGAGGAATACCGCTCTGTGAAGACCAATACCGAGTTATACCGAGCAATACCGAGTTGTACCGAGTTTTTTCTAGGAAAAACTCGGTACTACTTTTGTATAACTCGGTATTGCTCGGTATAGGTTGGTATAATTCGGTATTGAGTCTTCACGTGATGGTATTCCTCGTTATTGTTTGGTATTGCTCGGTATTTCTCATTTTTTGGCGTGATTTAGTCTCCGACCGAACGTTCCTCGGTGGACGTAATAATTGTTCATATTTGTTAATGCATTATCTTATAATTTAGTTGATTGATGACGAAGATGTAACACAACGTACACAGTTTATACATATAGTCTTAGGTTATAGCGTCATCGAAGACTCGGCTAAGTACAAACCGAAGCAGAGACGAGGGATGATAGCAAGCGTGACGACGGCGTTATCTTCCTCTCGCCTCCTCGTCTCTCCGCTGCTCGCTTCCACTCTTCAGCTCTCCAATTCTCTTCCACCTCTTAGGTTTTACTCTCTGCCTTCGTCTAGGGGTTTTCACCGCCAGAGGTACTCCGAACCCCGCTGCTTCATCACACGAGTGGCCGAGTCTATCGCTGAGGGTTTCTGGGAAGAACCCGACGACGGATTTGGAAGTGAAGGAGATGAATCCGAGGACGAGATGATAGGGGAAGAACAAATTGAAACGGCTTACAGTAGACCTAGTAATGCCAGTCATTCTGAGTCAGAATACGAGCGGCTCGTTAAAGGTTCCTTTCTTCATACTTTTGTGGAATCTTTTGTTTTCATAGACTTTGAGTTGGAAAGAATGGATCTTTCTTCTGCGTTTGGATGGAGGCATCTAATTTCCATCTGGGATTTGATGAGATCATTATGCTATGCTATATTTTCCCTGCTCAAAGGATTAAGCCCGGGTCACAAAAATGCTGTTCTTAATAGTCATTCGCATTTGGAACCAACAAAAGCTTTATGTTTGCCACATTAATGAATTAATTTGTAACTCGATGAATATATGTTTTAGAGTTATTAGCAGATTTGAGAGAAGTTTGTGATGACTATAAGCTGCTGTGTATACTTTGTTCAATCATAAATACATGGGCATCAATATGATATTTCTTTATACGAGTATTCTTATATGTTCTCTCACATTACTAAGAGTTTACTGTCTGCCTTTTTCAGGAATTAACGATTTACAAGTTCCTTGTTGTCATAACTTATTGATATACTGTAGCTTTTCAAATACTTAGAACGTTGCAAAACCAGAGGTTGGATATGTACGAGAAATGCTGAAAATTTTTTATTGAAACAACATGAAGAAGTTTGCCAATGCAGTTTGATACTGGCTCAGAAAATGTTTTATAAAGTTTAAACCTGCCTTAGAAAACTAATTGGTAGTTTGTTTGTACTCTTGCTTGTTGTGCATTTTCTATCAGGTAAATTGTTTTCCTTTTGGTTTTCTAGAGGTTGAACAGTTGCTAGAGCCAGAAGAAAGAGATATCTTGCAACACAATGAAGTCCCTGATATCAGCAAAATCTCAACTGTTAAGTATCCCAAGTCAGAGATTATTTATTAATTTCAGCCTGATGTTTTAATTTATGATTTTAAGACAGCTGAATTTGATTGTTTAACATTTTGGAATGAAAAATGATAGTGCACTGGTTTTTTTTTATCTGAGATAAGCTTAACAAAAAATTTATTTGTTCCCTACCAACATAACATTTTAATCCTTCTGACTGCTTAATTCTTACCTATTATAGAAGAAGTGGAGCCTATTTCATTCTCTAGGATTGTCGCTTCAAATACCTTTAATGGATAAACTACTTGAACGTGGTTGTGATATTGATTCTATTGATAAGGTGTGTTATTCATCCTTAAGATAATCCTCCTGCTGATTATTAGAAATATTTATCTCCTGAAACTATAAAGCTTATGTAGGTTTAGTGTACAGGATGGTTACACTGCTCTTCACAAGGCAGTGATTGGAAAAAAGGAAGCTGTTATCAGCCATCTTTTAAGGAAAGGTGCAAATCCTCTTGTTAGGGATCGGGTAATGAATCAAGAATTTTCATATGCAAAGATTCTTAATAATACAGCCCTATAAAATTATGAAATCTTGCTTCACAAATCCTTACCTACTTCCATTGTTCCATCAGTGTGGTGCCACTGCTTTGCATTATGCAGTACAAGCTGGTGCCATGCAAACTGTGAAGTTGCTGATTAAGTATAAAGTGGATGTCAATGTTGCTGATAATGTGAGTTCCCTATTGTTTAACAATTTTCTATTTATGTAGGAATGTGATCCTTCTTAAAATATGATCATATACAATTGATGATTACAGGATGGCTGGACACCACTGCATATTTCAATGCAGAGTAGATCTAGGGATATTGCAAAAGTTTTGTTAGTCAATGGCGCTGATACGACTAGAAGAAATAAGGTAACGTCTTGATTATTTACATTTTATCTATGAGATTTACTTGTGTTATTTTTTTATTGATGAAGACTGTAAATTTTGATTTTAGATGCATGCAACTTTTGTAATTTGATCATGTTTATGTTTTTGAAACAGTAATGGGGGTATGACTATGATGGTGGAAGCTTCATGCTTTACATCTTTTTGATAGTTAACTCATACTATTTGTGTTGTTTTTAGTTTTCTAATACTTATTGGTATATTAAATTTTCTTCAATAGTTTTTCTCTTGAAATGATCCAAGCCTTATTTTGATCACCTCCTTCTGCTCTACTTTGTTGCTTTGAATGTTTACAAACTATGATGCACAGACACGGACACGGCGACACGGATACGACACAACACGGACACGGGAAACGTCAGTTATTAAAAATATAGGACACGGACACGGGTTGGACACGGTATTATAGTTTTTATATTTAAAAAATAGTGTATAAAAATTAAAGAAGAATAATTTTAAAAATAATTTGAAAATAATAAGTCATTTAACTAGAATTTGTGCTTAAAATGATTAGTATTAGGATGTCGAGAGTCTAGCGTCGATGCCATTTATCAGTCACCGAGAGAGGAGATGAAAATACCTTCACTGTCAAAAAGAAATGAAAATGAGAATATTCGATAATTGGGTATTAAGTGCGGACGTTGATTTGGTGTTGTGGATAGGAAATAAGAAATTTAATTTAAATTCCACCAAATACAATAAATTATATTTAAAAAAATTCATAAAATATTTAAAATATGCTTGTCGGACATGCGTGTCCAAATTATATTTAATATTTTTTAATCGGACACGTTTTTGGTGTGTTTGACACGTGTCGGACGAGTGTCGTGTCGGATACGGTGTCGGACACTGCACGCCTCTTTGAGGAGAAGTGTCGGTGCATCATAGTTTACAAATCTCATATTACATACAAATTAGTTTTGTTACCAATTTATACTATTTATAAATTCATTATCCATTTTTGCGTTTTCCATTGAAGAGAATGCTTATTACAATAGCTGGAGCCTTTGCTTGCTTGGTCAGTTGGTCAGGTCAATACACATCCTTGCAGTGCTCTGATGGTTCTTCATTCATGACAATTTAAATGTTGCAGAATGCAAAGATATGGTAGGAAATTTATGTGTTTGAAATTCATGTAAATTTGATTTCAATACCATGACAAATTTAGAAATAGTGTGTCAGAATAAAAGCAAAAAGAAGAAGACCCAAGAATCATTTGAAGGTGGTTATTCTTTCTCAAAAAGGAAAAAATAGAAAAAAATAGCAATAGTTATTATTCTTACTTGAAAAATGGAAGAAAGATTGGAAAGCAAAAAGCAATTTATGTTGTATTAGAAAACCTTACATCGAGTTTGGTGGACAAGGAAGACCGATCTTTATCTAAAATCACAATGCCAAAGAATATATTGGTGGATTCATCCTTTAACATTCCTGAGAGGAGTTTTAACCATAAGGAATTAGGTAAACCAAGAGGTGGTTAGCACTATCTTGGATAGACAATTGAAGTGAATTAATTAGGAAACTCATTAAAGGATGAAATTCAAATTAGCAAAGGGAAACCAAAGGGGGCCGGCGGTATGGATCCTTGGTGGCCGGCGGAGGGAGTGTTGGTGGTGGTCGGCGGGTGGCTGGATGGAGGATTGGCCGGCGGGAGGGCTTCTGCAGGCCGGCGGGTGGGGCTATGCAGGCCGGCGGCCTGGCTGACTCTAAAAGAATCGGCGGCACTAGGAGAGAGGAGGAAAAATTAAAGAAAATCTGAGATTTTCTTTGGCTTTGATTTCCCTCACCTCGAATCTCTCAAAACTCTACCTCCACGCAATAATCTTGGACTAATTCTAGAACTCACGAAGAGATCTAGTTCTCCCTTTGAACTCACTAAGAGATCAAAGGGAAGTGCACTCACAAAGAGAACAAAGGAGAATAATTTTCATTTCAACCAAAAACTAACTCATTCCAATACATGATGCCTCATATAAGGAGGCCCAAAAATAAAAGTTGAAAAGACAGAAATGCCCTCTGGGCTACATAAGCAAAACAATGCCCTCAGGGGCAAACTAGGAAAACTAAAATACATATGAAATAAGCTGTAAATAAATTAGAAATAGAGGCTCTGGATCGTAGCTGTCGATCTGCGCCGCCGGCGATGATACACGTGTCGAAATCTGATGTCCCCATCAAGAAGTTTTTGCCTCATCAATTTTGAATAGCTCAGAAGTTGAGACATTAGCATAGAAGCAAGTTAAACCTAGTGCTTTATCCAACGTATGATTTTGGATATCTACAGGAGGCTTCCAAAGATATTTTTCAAAACTCTACGAGGAATTTTCTGAAGGATCAATTCATGTAAATAGTAAAATGGTATAGTTGGGAGGTTGTAAAGTCAATCTTCTCTCACTTGAAGTTATGATTTCACCTTAATGAAATCCCTCTGAATGAGGGACACATGATTATGGGATCATACATCCATGATCACGATTTGGGCATTTGACATGAAAACATTAAATGGATCCTATTTGTTGAAATTCTGATGGACTGGTTTTTTAATGCAGATTGTCTATGGTTGTGATTTTCATATGAAACCATTGAAATCAATGTTGTCTCCAATAGTCCATAAATGCAATAAGATCACCAATCAGATTTCATGCAAGGGAGATTAAAGCCTTGAAAGCTGGACCTTTTAATCAAAGTTTATATTACAATAGGATAAGTATGACCTTAAAAAAGGGGAAACAATATACTATGGTGCTGTTTTAAAGCCATCCGGTCCTTCATGATTTCCAGTGGAGAATTTGAACTGAGAAATTTATCTATAGCAAGAGAACTCAAAGAAGAGATTGATCTATTGATCAAAACCTTCTGATTCCCAAAACTCAAAAAACTGATTATGATCTTTTCATATATTCTGATATGATTAATTTGTTAGTTTCATTGTGCATTTATCATGAATTACTGTAACTTTAGCTGTAAGATCTCTCTAACTAATTAAATTATGATATTACTCTGTTATGGATTTGTTTTATAGGATGGAAAGACACCTCTGGATCTCAGCTTATGCTATGGGAGGGACTTCAAGTCTTATGATCTGGCAAAGCTACTCAAACTTGTTCCTGCAAACAGAAACCCATGAAAGAACATCTGATGACCTATTTTCTCAAAGCAAAATGGTGAATTGCCTGAAGCTTGTGTGGTGAGAGACTCCAAATGGAATTTTGTCCCAATTTTTGGCTCAATCTAACAGTTCAAACAATCAAACTTAATGTAACCCTCGAAATGTTTCATACACTTATATGTATTTTTGGGAGTCGAAAATGTGAAGAAAATTGTAAATTTATGTTTGGATTGATGGTGTTGAGAAGTGAAGATGGTAATGCTTAATGTTTCATTGCAATATCTGATATGAGCAGTCAAGTCATACCGTTATTGGTGTGTGTTATGCAACTTGTGATAGATTTATTTTAATTGTTATTTTTGATTTTTTTTTTTGTATTTTTCATAAATAAAGTAATTTTTTTATTAAATTAAAATTTTATTTTATCTTATTTTTTATACATTGGAATTTAATTTTTATTATTTTCCAAAATATTTATTAAAACTTTGTATTCTACCCATCATTGTTTACAATGGATGGTGGGCGAGTACGGTTGGGAACTCCTAACACTTGCTCGATTTCTCTTGAGCGGCAATGCCTCTTAAGTTAGGCTTAATCAAGTGTGGGCTTGAAGGTTTTTGGAGTGGATGCTTCTTCTATATCAAATGGTCTCCTGCCAACTACAGTCTTTTGGGCCCCTCTCTCGTGCTAACTATAGTCCTTCCAATCAAACAAATATATCTATGTTGATTAGTGTAACTCCCACCATGTAATGCGCTCTATATGATGTACATACCATCAAGGCCTTCTCACAAGGAAGGGCCTCATTTATAATCGACTACAAATACTAGTTGATTCATTTAAACTGGACCAGGCCCCGTGATTTTTCCGTCTTTTTTAGGATTTTCCACGTAAAAACTCTTGTGCCTCTTATGAACGCTACACCCTCTCTCTTATCTGATTATATACTGGATCTTCGTACAATGCTAAGACATTAAACTATATATTTATCTACCGCCATGAATACTCCATGACGCAAAAAGTTGATGTTCCTAATTTAATTAAAAATCACTCTCCTTAAATAAAATCCCAAAGAAAAAGAGGGAGACAGAGAGAGAAATGGAGAGATATATAGAGCGTAAGAAATAAAGAGAGAGAGAGAGTAGAGTAACAATAAGATAGAATACACTTATTACATGTATTGAATCTAACCCGCTGGTTG